TGTTTTCCTTTCGTCATGCTTTGGGCTTCTCTTGAGCTTCCACTTTTTACAACCTGAATGTCTGCTTCTTTTTGTGAAAATCAGATTTCTTCTGTGGAAAGAAATGCTCTTTGAAAGATTTTTGAAGAGAACTGCAAGGGGACTTGTCCCCATAGGTAAATACGCTGCGAAAGCAAATAGATTACGTAACCTATCTGAGCAGCAAAACAGAATGTGAAAGAGCTTTGTGGATAGTCTTTTGTGTCCTGCCTCGTTGGAATTGTGTAGTTGAAACCCATAAGGCCACCAGAAGGCATTTGCTATAGTGGCTCTCCTAATTTCAGTGTCCAGAATCCAGTGTTCAATTCAGACTGTTCCACTCTCTTTAGCAAAGATTGCTTGAGCTTCATCAGTACTTATTACCTACATACTGAATTTTTAAGGATCTTTTCTGATGAACTCTATGGATTTAATACAGATATACTTGAGAGAAGTAGTGAGCAAATTGGAGTATTCTCAAGGCACCTGTCTGCAAAGTAACAGAGAGTTTCATGTTCTTGTTTCTATATAAGCTATCAGGAGAATCTTAAAATGTTGATTTCCATTTTTTAATAGTTCATTTGTTTTTTTAGCTACATAGATTCATATTTCTGAATATTATTCCTCAAAAATTGCATATTTGGCAGAAACGCATGGCAAAAATTCATCTTCTGAATGTGTAAAGATTTTTTAATACAAGAAAGCTGAATCATAAAGACACTTGTGTTGTTTCTAGACTTCCCTCCTTTATGTTGTTAAATTATTGGAAAAAAATCTTTTTCCCCTCATTCCCCCTGAATCAAATTGCTGATGCAGTATATTTTTGTTAATTGTAAAGTGATTGAAGTATTTTACTGAATCAGCGTAATTTCATTTCTTGCCAAAATGTTTACGATTATTAGTACTAGGATTCGGCATTAAAAGTAGTCTTGGTAAAAGGTATGTAAACGTGCCACTGGCAAAGATCTGCTGTCCTTGTCCCACTTAACAGCAAAATGCCTAAATTGTAGTGCGAGAGTTCATCGCAAACAGACACAAAGCAAGGTAGCTTAGCATTTTGCTGTGCATGAGCTGTTAGAGGGCAACGCAGACACCGTGCACCTTGACCACCTATTATGAAGCTTTTTGCTGCAATGTCAAGCGAAAGCGAGTTAATTGGGTGAAGCTGTAGAGCATGTTAGGGGCATGGTAAAGGGTTGCTGTCTGACAGCTGAATGGCAGCAGAAGCTAGTGAAGTGTGGCTGAGAGACAGAGACCTGTCACAAAGTTCATGTGGACTGTAGCACAGTTGGGGAGATGAAATGTGGTTCTGTCTCACTTTCTCCCTCATTGCATTCAAGCACCTTAAGATTTCACAGTGTATGTGTCAACCCTTGTTCTCTAAGCTGTTTTCTCCTAACACTTCTGCATTCAAATGATTGGACAGAAGATGCTAATGTTTGGCAAAATGAATGTAAATATACTTTTTTCCTTTTTCTGCTAGAGCAGCAGTATACTTGCAACTCAGATGAAACTTTGAAGGCTTACATCAGATAGTCACACTGTTTAGGAATTTGGCTGATGGCTGAATACATTTCTCAAGAGAATATGAAGTTTGACACATTAACTGGTTGGATAGGGACTATTTTCCCACCAGCACTGGCAAAATAAAGGGCAGTGGGGGGGACTACTTCATGAGCTGGTGCCTTAGTATGGTGTCATGAGTTTTTTAGTCTCTGGTTGTACTCCTCTTCTCCCCTTCCTGCTAGAAAGAAACTAAGAGCTGAAAGGGAACATGAGAGAGAGAGAGGCTTATCTGAGGCAATGAAAAGCTGTGGGAAAACTCACATAATAGGAAAGCCTTTCTTGGAAGCAAGAGAAGCATCAGTTAAAGACAGCAACAATCTTACACACTGCTGCAAAACATGGAGTGCTGTCACAATAGTAAGTGTACAGTGTACCTTTCCATGTTGTTTGCAGCATGCAGCACAAAATAAAGCAATAATCATTTGGGTTATCTACTCAGGTTCAAAATAAATAAATAAAAGTTTGCTTCCATTCTTAGACAAGTGGAAAGACAGTGGTAGGTGGCATGGGCAAAAAGTACAAAAGATTTGGAAATTCTTATTGAAATCAAAACAAACTGATCATTTTACCATGTAAAAAAGAGCACTACATTGTTTGTGTAATAGTTTGCTATTATTAGTGTAGTGCAGAGAATTTGATCTGAAAATGGGGGACTTCCTTGTATATTCCAGTGAAATATCTGGTACAAAGACTTACTGTATAGGCTGTGTATGGACTTTGGCCAATATATTTAAAAAGCATCAGAATAAACTGTGGTTTAGAAAGTAATTATTCCATAATATAGACTAACTTTTCATATTTTGGTCTTTGGGAAAATGTGTTTTATAAAGTCAGGCTTTTGAAAAATGCACATAGGACATGACTAATTACTTTCAAAACATAAATATTTTGAAAGCTTATTTTTGCTAAGCATATATGTCCTAAATATCTGTTTACCTAGTGAAGTGTTACAGTTCAGATTGAATCATGTACACCTTATCTGGTAAATAAAAGTGCTGTGCTAAAGATTTGCCTGAACAGACACTTTATTTAAGATACATAATTCCTCTTTCAAAAATTACGTAAATGCATAGTTATATGATGGATTAATATCAGAGCTGTGGCATAGTCATTTGAGTTTGTCAATTTAATACATGTTTTACAAAGATGCCTAAGTACAATAATGTTTAAAGAGGTCTATTGGGGAAACTATAACTGCTTTTAAAATTCCTGTGTGAAGGTATGTGTTCAAACAATGAGTGTTATAACAGTTCGGAGTATTTTTTCTTCTAACCTATAAAATTGTATTTTCTTATTCATCATGAGGGCATATAATGAGATTGGATCAAAATAGTTCTTATGAGAAGCAGCCAAGATTTTTTTTTTACATCAATCACATTGCTATTAGATCTGATTTTGCTTCTACTCAATGACTAGCATTTTGCTCTTTGTAAGAAGTACAGCAGAGGATCTGGATAACTAAACCAGAGCTTTTTTTTCCCTAACAGTGAAGCTTTTACTATAACATACTCTATTGACTTGCTGCCAATCAGTAAGTTTCATACGGTTTTTTTGCAACTCTCAAAGGAAATCTGATTTCTTATCTCCGTATTGGGATTTTGATACCATATTCTTAAAAAATCCCCTCACTACAGCTTGAAAAAGAGTAATATGAGAATGTAGTCAAAACACGTGATTTTTTACTCTTTGTGGCATGCTGTTTAATTGAGGTGTTGAAAGCAATACAAACCAATACGTTTAAATTTGTCTTCAATATTTGTTATCCAGGGTGAGACCTGTTTGCAGCTTATATCTTTTTAATTTCATTTTTTTTACATGCAGAAATATTTTTAGAACATCACAAGTTACTTGCATATTTCAATATTCTAATAATTAAAAAAATTAATTATTCTTACTTTAGAGAGGATTTTGTCCATGTGGCCAGCTGATTAAAGTGTACAAATAACAAACTGTTAATTGGTGTGATAGCCTTCACAGATCTCATTTCACGTCTGCTGGTACAAATGCAGTAAATCTCATTTGTGCTTTGGTTCTCACGCTGCAGAAAGTCAAGCCCGGAAGGACTGAAAAGAGTGTTACAGATCTTAGTTGCTCATCCTGCTGGTTCTCTCATCCTCATTACCTCTATCATTTAGAAAAACCCAAGGCACTACCTCATTTTAACTATCTACTCGAAACAGTCATCTACATTTGCTACTGTATGGGTTCTTAATGAAGGTCTAACATAACTATTTGTTTACAGTAGCTGCAATATAGCTAGTGGTGAATCAGGAAATCAAAAGAGTCCATATCAAAGAGAACTGTTGAGGTAGGTGTTAGAGGCAACAACTGATTTTTCTCCAGCAATAGTAACAGAGGAAAGAGGAATCTTTAAATGTATGATTGAGACTGGATTTGGTGAAATATGAATATACACACACCCTTCAGCCTCTCTCTGGATATCTTTGTGTACTGTAATCCTTGTGTCTGTATATGTGTGTTTCTGCCTCTGTGTATGTGCATCTGTGTTTATATATGCATGTATACTCTTCCTTAAATGCTGACTGTTTTAAACCTCAAATATAACTGTCATTCAGTATGTTAACTTTTTTCGCCATCATTACACTTTGCAATGTTTTCACGTTTTATGACCTGATGAAATGATTGTTATTTTCACAACTATACAGTGCATTGGTGAAGGGCAGAAGAGCAATATGGCATCGTGTTTTCTTAAGTTTGGTTAAGGGAATATAGAATGCCTTCCTTTAGAATTTTTTTTTCTTAATTATTAATGCTGATATACTGATATTATCCATAATCTTTCGAAGTAGGATGCCTAATATTTTGGTGCTGGAAGCTCTTCAGTGTTGAATTTTAACTAGTCTAACCTTTATATCTGTTTGACTGAATGTTGAGACTCATTGAAATATGAATCATGTTCCCATCAACTTACAGTCAGTGAATATTCTCTGACCATCATCTAACAGGCTAACATTTGAGGAGTATGAAGTGTTTGATTTCAATTGATGGTAAAGTATATTTAAAAGTAACTTAATACCTTCCGTGGTTAGCATGGTGTGTTTCTAATAACAGTGACAGGGAGACTGTAGAATAAGCTTGTTTATTTGATTAAAAAAAACACCTGGAAATTATAATGGAGGGATATAAAAGTTCTCTGTAAGTATTTGTAGCACTTCAAATAAAGAAGGCTATTGTCTTCTAACACTAGTGCAGAATACTTGAGATAATGTCCTTTGTTTCTTTTTATTAAAGATAACTGTAGGTGGTCAGGTACCATGTATTTTAAATAAGTGTTTAAAACAAGAAGCAAACACTTGCAGATACTTCATATACATACCTTTGTGAAAGGTATTTAACAGTAAATGTATATTCTCCTTTTTTTGTTGTTGTTTTTTATTCTTCATTTTTTATTCCAGGAAACAAGAGGGAGTTCAGACCTCAATGTGGGTCCAAGCGAGAAATTCAGTCTGATCAGAGTTCTGTCCCAGATTTTTTGGCATTGCAAGCTGAACCTGACATAACCTACAGTGTTACGCAGAACAGAGACAGTTCTCTGTCTTAAATCTGTTTCTTAAGCCTGGAATCACATCCAATCCCAGAAGAACAATGGAAAATGGATTTTCAGATTCTTAGTATCAATAGTCTTTTAGAAGGGAAAAATTGTATTAATGTAAAATCATGCAATTAAAGTGTAATTTTGTTGTTACCTTTGAATTGTAATTAACTGTATGTATTTTTTAATATAAATTTTACATTTCTATGAAAATGTGCACTTGTATGTTCACATTTCTGTGCTTTTCATTTTTTGCATACTGGAGCAGTTATTGTTTAAACTTTTATATATTGCGGTTGTTCATTTTTTATGTAGTATATTTTTAAATGTTAAAGAATGACACATTTTGGGTAATTTTCCTCAGACTTAAAAAAAAAAATAAATCAATAAGCCATTTTAGTCTCTATCTATCAAAGTTGTTTCATACTTGTCTATTTTAAAGCAGGACTGCAATACTTTAATAGGATTGAGAGAGCTATTTGAAATGTATGCCAATGATTCCTGTCATTTCATGGCAGCCCTGCCATGGTTCACTGAGCCCCCTCTTTTCTCTTGTCAGCTCAACTGAAGACAAGCATTTAGTTGCAAACTTTAAGCAGGTTGTGCAAAACAGAAATGATGTGACTGCTTCTCTTCCTGCACAATAATGTCACTGCTGGTCAATGTGAGAAGGTCAGGTTGCTCCTTGTAAAGCTACATGATACCACTTGCCTATTTGAACAAGTTAAGTTAACCACTGAATCTGGTCCCTGCAGGCACTGAAAACTCACCCTTTCATCAAGTGTGCATTTCATAAGAAAGAAGAACAATTGTGGAGGGAGGATTTCTGATGATATGTTTATATACTTTATAAGGACAGTTCCCAAACCAGTGTTGCAGTTAATATATTTAGTTTAAACTGAAAGACTTTAAAGTAATGGCTGTTTTGACCTTCAAATAGACTCCTTTTTTGTTGTTGTTGGTAGGACCCAAGAGTGACGCCCATCTTTGATGCTGACAGAATTTAAAACAAGGCCATTGCCCTGCATTTTCTGCCTTGTAGCACACAAAAGTAAAATTTTATGTCAGGCCGAGATGTCGGGGAGCTGACAAGATGCCCCAGTGACATTTCAGCTGGAAAGAGCAAGTGTCTTGCAACCAAGTGGTCAAATATCAAATAATAGGTCAAGCAGGAAGGAGCTGAGTTCTAACCACAAAGAGGTTTCTGTTAACTTACTTGACAAGCTTTTGGGTGCTTTGTGGCTTGACAAAGTGATGTTCTGTTGAGTATCACTAGACAGACTGTTCTTTATCACCTTCAGAAGATCAGACATTGACATTGATTAAACTCTTTAACCCTTAAAGGTTAAATCCTAGCAGTTTCATCATTGTGTATGAAGAACAAAAGAAATTTTGAAATATACCATTTGTTTTCGTATTAATCACAGAACTCCCTGGTGCTATTAACTTTTGATGTGCTATGTAGTTTTTGACAAAAAGATTGAATGCAAAAATCTATGTAATAGATTGTTTCTCATTATGGGCCAGTGATACATTAGAAAAATAATATTATGCATTATGGAACCTATAATTTCTTCTAATATGTCAAATGTACGATTTGATTTTTAAAGCCTCAGGACTACTACTGAAATTCCATTTTGGATGGAAAACAATATTTGCATAAATTATATACCACTTAAAATGAACAAATCTTCCAACTACCCTTGTTTTCAAGTACCCTAGAATCATAGAGTATCCTGAGTTGGAAGGGACCCACAAGGATCATCAAGTCCAACTCCTAGCCCTGCACAGGACCATCCCCAGGAGTCACACCATGTGCCTGAGACTATTGTCCAGATGCTTGAACTCTGTCAGGCTTGGTGCTGTGACCACTTCCCTGGGGAGCCTGTTCCAGCACCCAACCACTCTCTTTTCCTAATATCCAACCTAAACCTCCCCTGACACAATTTCAGGCCATTCCCTGGGGTCCTATCACTGGTCACCACAGAAAAGAGATCAGTGCCTGCCCCTCCTCTTCCTCTCAGAAGGAAGTTGTGACTGCAATGAGGGCTCCTCAGTTTCCTCTTCTCCAGGCTGAACAAACCAAACCGCTCCTAATATGGCTTCAAATTTACAACAGAAGAACTTTATTCAAAGAGTTTTCAGATATTCTCTTACTGTGCAAATCCGTTGCTCACAGCCATGATGTGCCTGTATATATGTATATTAATACAGAGCCATGCAATACCAGATAATAAATCCTGTAGAACTCTTAAGTGTGAGAGTTGGCTAATAGAGGCATAACATTTCTTTATGGTGGTATATTTAATCTTGAATAATGAAGAAAGTTTTTGTTTCCCTCCAAGTGTCTGGGCTCCACTCTTTCTGACAGTGACTGTTCTGAAAGGCACCACAAGTACTGTATTGTGCTCTTCCATATATAGTGTCAAAGATCTGCTATACTTGTACAAAGAATGAAAGAATATATTTTACTTGACATTTTACTGTCTACTACGTATAGAAGTATGCATGCACTTAATTTTTAACGTATATTCTAATGTTAATCTATAGTTTGACAAAGAAAGTGCCTATTTTTTGCTAAGCAACCTCAAACTACGCAAGATTTGCAGCATATTTGTCCCTTACCTGTCACTGCAAGTGTATGTGGCAGTGTGCATGTAGGGACAGAAAAAGGATTTCTTTCTGAAATCTGTTTTTCTTTCTGAAATCACTGTCTTACTGAGAATAGGACTATCTTGTCCATTTACTCCAGTTACAGCTCCAAGCATGGGTTTGTGTGATTTCACAGGACCATAGCGATGGCAAACTGACTGTAGTTAATAGGAACAGTCTAGTGAGCTGTCATTTCTCGCAAGAACTAGCTTCTAAGTTTTCATTGAAAGAACGGTTACCTCATTCACTCTAAGTATTGACCAACTGTGGGTTATAGACTGTTTTTCTTAAAGCTATCCACTTTGAAGGGACTTCGAAATATTTTTTGTTTGTCTATCAGATGTCCCATTTGTAAAGAAAAGCTCCTCATTTCTTATGTTGTGAAGAAGTTGTAGAGTAGTAAACTGGATTATTGTTAGTGCAATACTCCTGAATTGCTTTTCCAAGCATCTAATAAGTTGAAATGTGTGATAAATTCCAAATGAATAGAAGATTAGAAGATCCCCTGTTGGGATCTTCTAATAGGGAAAGCATAGCTTTCCCTATCTTTTGGTCACACAATAAAAATTGTGTAGAATGTGGCAACACAGTTCAGTAACAGTAGCTGTCAAAAGAGCACCCTTACTGTTTTAAAGAGCATCCTGACTGTTTTATATCATCTGCTCTCTCTGCCTTGCTTTGAAAATTGCAGAGCTTGAGACTTTGATCCTTACTTTCAAAGCTTTTCATTGTTCAGGCTCGGAATTTCAAGAGGACTGCTTCTACTACTCCATGAGAACAATGAGTTTCCTTAGAAAAAAACCCATGTTTGGTGGGTCTAGAATACTGTCTGTGTTTTTTTAAATGTGGTCCAACAACAGATCTGCCTTCTGGTCAATCTCAAAATTCATATTAATTTATTTACCCACGAAGCAACTCACCTCTGAAAAGAGACTGAAATGTATTATTTCTTCTGTGCAGTAGGTTTTATAGCAGATAGTGCAAACTATGTGTGTGCCTGTGTGCCACATGTATGCATATTTCTCAGCAAAGATTTTGGTTATTGGGCTGACTGCATTATGACTCCACATACTGTAAGCAATACCAGTAGTACTGAGGGGCTTTTTGGCTCCCCCTATCTCCCATACTTATTTGCAAATTCAGCAGAAGCTTTACTGCCTGTCAAGTTTGATAGACAATTATGGTAGTGTCCACCATTCCTGGAAAAGGTCTTGAATACCTTTACCAAGTTAATCCAAGGCAGATGAGTTTGGACGGGCACCTCTGGAGATCAAGTAGTCCAGCACCCCTGCTCAGAGCACAGTCAGCTACCACAAGTTGCTGAACATCATGCCCAATTGGGTTTGAATATCTGCAATGGTGGTGTCTCTTTTAACAACCTGTTCCTGAGTGTTCAGTCACCCTCAAAGTAAAGGCATTTTTTCCTATATTAAAATGGAATTTCATGTGTTTGAGTTTGTGCACATTGCCTCTTGTCCTGTCACTAGGCACCACAGAGGCTCCATCTTCTTTACTTTGCAGGTTTTTACACAGGTTGGTGATATCTCCCTGAGCCTTCTCTTCTACAGGCTAAAAAAATCACAGCTCTCTTAGCCTCTTCTCATGTGACAGGTACTCCACTCATTTTACCAGTCATCTTTTTGGTCCTTCACTGGGCTCACTCCTGAATTTCTCTCTCTTGTACTAGGGAGTTCAGGACTGGAGCCATTACTCCAGATATAGTCACCAATGCAGGGAAAAGATTGCCGCCCTTGACTTGTTGGCAGCTCTCTTCCTGATGCATCCCAAAGAGGCAGTTATCCTGCTTTGCTACCAAGGTACATTTCTGCCTCATGGTCAACATGGAGACAGAGAACCTCCAGGTATTTTTCTGTCAAGTTGCTCCCCAGACAGTTGCTCCCTGGATAGTCTTGGGTCCCCAGGCTGTCCTGGTGCATGAGGTTATTCCACTCCAGGCAGAGGACTTTCTTTTCTTTCTTGAACTTTGTGAAGTTCCTGTCAGCCCTTCTCAAGTCTGTCAAAAGTCCCTCTGGATGTCAGCAAAACCTTCTGATCTAGCAACCACTTGTCCCACCTTAGTATAATTGCAAACTTGTGAATTGTCCACTGGGTCTCATTGTCCAGGCCATTGATAAAGTTATTAATCCATATTGGCCACGTATTGACTCCTGGGATATCCATTAGTGACTGGCCTCCAGTTGGACTTTGTGCCACTGATAACAATCCTTTGAGCTAACCAGTTCAGACATTTTTGAAACTGACTTACTATCCATGTATCTAGTCCATGTTTCCTTACTCAACAAGTGGGCTATTTTGTTGTGTAAAGGGCTCTTCAAGTTCCCAAACACTACTAAAGCCCTGGATTAAGTGAAATGCAATATTTTATATAACCTCTTTGTCATTTAGGTCAGTTTGATCATTTGATCACTTCTAAGAGCATCTGATCATGCTATACTTAGAAGGTTTCCCAACACTTTAAATTTTAGATAAATCCACGTGTTCAGTGGTTTAACTTAGATCCTAAAAATATTTAAACTGCCATCTGAAATATAAAATTACTTTAGTAGCATTTTTCTCCTGATGTTTTTTATTGTTCTTTGATTATTCTCCAGTGAATAAAACTCAAAAAACCCTTGGCAGCTTCACAGTTTGGATCAAATATATGTCAAAGAACACCTCTCTTCCACAGCGCCACACTCGGATGGTGGCCAGGCCGCACCACAATCTCCCGGCAGTGGTGACG